TTTCTAGAAACATGTGATAAGAAGGCAATTTTGATCATTTATAAGGGGTGTTTTAGGGAAAAATTGTTTAGATATCACCAAGAGCTAATTAGTATAAGGAGACTTATAAAAAATCTAAAAACTAGGACTTATAATTAGAGACGAAGGGAGTGATTATGCATAAATTAAACAATATATACACACATGCATACATATACTTACTCATCAATATATTATGATAAGCCAAAATAATCTAACACAATAAATTTTACCATTATTCATTTGCTTTTAAATTGTGTGCAAGTTTTGAAAGGCTTTTGAATATATACCTCAACAACAAATATGAGGTTGAGACCAGATATAGAAAAATCAAATTCAGAAGAAATATTTTTGTTTTCTTTTCTATCACCTAAATATAAGGTTGGTTTAGGTGGTAAAGTATGGACTAGTTAGTGATCTTGAAGATTTAAACAATTAATACTGATGTAAGAAAAATAAAAAAGAAATAAATATAATTTAACTGTATGAAAAGACACAATTATACGTTCCAGTATTTATGTCTGGAAGTAGCTAGTAATGAGATTGCAGTTCAACAACAAAAACGCACGCACACACATGAAAATAACATACTTATTTTTTTCACTAATTAATAGAGATAAAGATGAGAGGAATTACGTACCGTCACTGCAGGTTGCAAGGACAAGAAGAAGAAATATGAAAGCAAACTTGAAGAAAGCCTTCGCCATGGTTTCTTACGGTTTCAGAAAAAAAGATAGTAGATTTGCAACACTATATATAAACTTTCTTGTTAATATCTCCAACACACACACACACACACACACACACATATATATATATATATCAGTGCACGAGTTTGCGACTGCAAGATATCTGAATTTCAAATGTGATCATAAGGGGAAACAAATTAAAATTTGGATATTTAATATTAATGCAAAGATTCTACATGATTTTAACCATTGAAACAAGGATTATGACCAAAAAAATCAATCAATACATGCATACACGTATGCATTCATGTGCTATATCCTTAAGATTTATATATATAAATTGATTGATGATTACATAGATTTTGTGTGTGTGTGTGTGTAGGTATATCTTTAATTATACATATTATCCTGTTTTTTAATTTGCTTGATTTCATCTTTGATCTATGTCCATAAGAGATTTAACTGAATTTTATCACAGCCTCGTCCTTTGGGAGGGACTTTTTGCCTGAAAAGTAGACATATCAAGATTCTCATATAGTATTAATTTATGGAAAAAAAACTTATATACTTAAAGTGATTGTTTGCAAGCAAATCAATATATGAAAATCTTTTATAAATTATTTATTTTATAATAAACTATTGTTACTAATAGATTAAATTCCTACATTAAACTTATAATTATTGATAAAACATTCTCAAATATTGAGGTATTAAGTTTAATTTTTTAAGATAATAATGATTGGTAAAAAAATCAATTACTTGAAACTAACAGTATTAGGATTAAAAAGCTAACAAGATATTTTATAAAATAAATGAACTAAACTAAGACCTTATATAAAGTTAGAGGATTAATTAAAAATACATTTTAACCTTATTAATATTATGGAAAAATGAAATAGTAAGTCCCTATAATTTGATTGCGTTTTGTTTTATTTCCTATAGTTTTGTTTTATTGTTCCAAGATAGTTAAGTCTTTTTAGTTTGATTCTTTTACACTATTAGTCTATATAGTTTTCAAAATGTACATAAGGAGATTTTGAGCTGAAATCGACAGATTAGAGTTAATTTTGCTTGTGTACTTAACTCTTTTAACTAGTTTACTGGCATATATTTAATTTCATATTTGCCTCTCACATTGGATTTAATTAAATCAAATATAAAAGAAAACTTGTCATGATGGATTTGATTAAGAATACATGCTGGAATCCTTGTTTAACATTCCTTTTTTTTTTTTGGTTATTTAATATTATATTCTACCTTTCACACCAACAATTGTGGCATCGAAAATATAATTCACGATCAACCTTTTACCTTTAAATAAGCTACCTTGTTAAATAAGACAAACATAAAAAAATATTATCAATTTAAAAATAATTAACTAACTCGTATAATTCGATTATACAATATATTTTTAATTTTGCTTATTGTACATCCTATATTTTATTTTAAATTCACATTTGGAAGCATAAACTTTATTTTAAATATTTATGATCATTGCAATTCCGATCTAATTAAAATAATAGCTACTACATGACGTACATGCTAACACACACGCTCTCTCTCTCTCTCTCTCTCTCTCTCTCTCTCTCTCCCCCACCATCAGAACTCAATAACAATAACTTCTTGGAGTTTATTATTATAAATTATATAAGACTCCTTTTGCAGTGTACTACATAGACACAGACATCTTTTGCATGCTATGTGCAGCATGCATAAAGCAACACACACTCACACACACACACACACATAAATTGTGTCACAATATTGCATTGATTGTTGAGAGAATGACAACAAAGTCTTAAAAGATTAAATTAATGATAATTAGGTTTTTAATAAAATCTTTTGAAAAGTACTATAAATATAAATTTAAACAATTGCAAATAAGAATTTCAATTTTAAACTGAGACTCATAATTAAAATTTAAATATCTTATTTACTAATGTTTGAAACTTCTAAATTCGTAATTATTTGAATCAACATATATCTATCATTCATTTTTCAAAAAATTATATTAAAGATCTAATTGTCATTAATTCATTTTATTATTAAGACTTAACTATCATTCTCTCTTGATTGTTCAGTTCACAATATTATGGTGTGAGTCTATTGATGCTGGTTTGGTTTGATAAGGAGGACAAGCACAGTTGTGATTTACACACACAGCAGCTACAAATCCACAATCAGGGCAATCCTCATTTGTTTGGCAGCGATCTTGTGCATTTATAGTCACTCTTGCAAATGAAGCTCCTGCTTGGTATATAGTTTCAGTGAAAAATAAAGGAACGTTAATTAGCATTGCACACAATAATGATAAGTTAATTATTAGGCTTTTAACTGCAGTAAGGACTGAAAAAAAAATTGACATTTTTACTGAAAATATATTGTAGAAATCAAGAAAAATCCATTGCAAATTGATTTTGCAACGAATTGTTCCGTTACAAATAAAGTATGACAAAAATTTCCTGACGGATTTGCTATACAGTATGAGGAATGAGAGATAAGAAATCAAGTTAAATAGAGAGAGAGTATGTTGGACTATATAATTTATTTATACACATGCCTTTTTTTTTCCTTTGCTATTTTTATAAAACACTACATGCATAATAATATTTACTATGGGCATACATGCAAACATACATACATACATACATACATATATATATATATATATATAATAGTGATAGAGATGATGTGGAAGTACCACAGGTGGCGAAAGCAAGGAGAAGAAATATGAAAGCCAACTTGAAAGGAGCATTTGCCATGTTATCTTGTTTCGTAGATTCAAACGTAGGAAGTTAAAGTGATTTGTGGCAATGTAGAATTGATGTTTGTTTCTTGGATACAATGCCAATATATATAATAGCAATAGAAGTTAAAGTTAGTGAGTGCCATGCGTGTGCACACCATGGCATCCACCTGTTAAAAATTTAAAAAAATTCTTCTCTTAAATCATTGTAAAAAATTAAATTATAAAAATTCTTCTATGTGTACCCTTGGCAGCTTAAGATAATTAAAAAAAAATCCTCCATCTGATACATTTGGAAGCTTGATGCATATTTTTTTAAAAAAAAATTCTTCCATGTTTACACATAACAAGAGCTTGCCCTCAATCCCGACCGAAGCTTTAATTATGAAAGAACGTTAGCATCATCACACATAATAATGATAATTTAATTATTTAGGCTTTTAACTACAGCAATAACTGAAAAAAGAAGAAGATATTTTTACTGAAAATTTATTATAGAAATAAAGAAAAATCCATTGCAAATTGATTTTTAAACGAATTGTTCCATTACAAATACACGTATCACAAATTTTTCTTAACAGATTTACTACGGTGAGCATGAAGGATTATATATCATTTAGGGTAAAAGAACAAATTGATCCAAAACTAAAACTAATAAGTCCAGAAACATTTAAAATTCTAAACTTAATTTTTTTATAATATTTCTTTTCAACTTTTAAAAATTGTATAATCTGATTCCTACCATTATTAATAAAAGTTAACTTTAAAAATTAGTTGATTAAAAAATGACATCAAAAACTATAAACAAAAGGATCAAAAAAGTATAAAGAATCCAAAAATTACAAACAATGACAAAAAATTATAAAAAATGATCGAGAAAATTTATAAGTCCTTTTCTATAACTTTTAAGGATATTTTCTCTCATTTTCTAATCAATTAATGAACAAAGTTAACTTCTATTAATAACAGTGTTTTCAAAAGTTGAAAGGGAATATTGAATAAAAAAATAAGTTTAAATAAGCCAACCAATTTTAGACCTATAGTTTAAGAGTTAATTTGCTCTTTTACCCTATTACTTATTCATACACACATTTTTTTTTATTATTCAAAGTTATCCTTCTATTGAAAGCAATCATATTTAAGACATGATTATATACTAAATGTGGATACATTTCTTAATAGAGATTCAAACATTAGTTAGTTATGTTGTGTATGAGAGATTAGCCCCTTTTATTATACCCAGTTGTTATTTTTATAGCACACCACATGCAATAATATTTAAAATTAAAGAGCAAAAATGTCTTGAATTTTTTTTTTCTTTTTTTGAGGCGATTTATACCCAATTCTAAATTTTTTTGTAAAACAATATTACCCGAATCTTAAAAAAAGGGAAGCAATGTTGCCCGCAGTTAACTGAGATAACATTTGACTGTTAAATCAATCCTTAGACTTATAACTTTACACGTGTCGCATTCTTCTACTCTCTCAACCTAACACTAAAATTAAATACGCATAGAATGAAAAAGAAACTTGACGGTATTGGGGAAGGTAAGAGCGACGACATTGCCGCTGCCGATGTTGATTCCGGAGGAGACTAAACGGACGCGGCTGAGTTCGAAAAATCTAGATCAAGGACATTAGTGAAGAGAAAACCAATGAATTTGGTGAAGCAGTGGAAACTACTGACCAGAAAATTGAGCATCTCCGTTGCAATTCTCAGTCCATATAGGTATGATTCCCTCTCTCTAATCCTGAATATTTTCACCTTACGTTGCTTAGCGATGTCAATTTATAGGATTGCAATTTATTTTCTGGAATTTCAAGGCCGATATCCTGTCTGACGAGTTTTCTGATGCCGTTTAGAGCTTTTCACTCCATTTATTGCAATGTTCTTTATTGTTGAAATTTGATCACTCTGTATCTGATATGAAAAAATTTTAAGTTTCTTAGCAAAAAGTGCAACTCGCAAACATAACACTTTGTCCAATGCTACCTCCGTAACACAATGTCATAATCTCCACTATTGCATCCCTGACATGTTGCCTATAGTCGCCGGCGGCTAAGTCCTGCGTGCACTGTGTAAGGCCGTACAGCGTCGTGTTGGCAGATGCGTCACCTTTCTGAACACTGTACTTGGAATCGGATCTCCCAAGAGCCTAAGCTGCTCCATCAATCAGATCGTTCAAAATAGATTCCAACGTTTTGTAAGATCGACCAGTTCGTAAAAGTATAGGATCGACTAACGGAATCTTGATCCGATATCTAGGCCCTTCCATGGAAGAGAAGATAAGCCGACACTCGTTGTACCAGATAATGGCTTATTTGGCTAAAGGACAAAACGAGCTTATCCTTTGGGCGGTGAAGTTCACACACTCGCTGCACAGTGCATACGGCACATCACCGCGGCACATGATGAAGAGACCGTAACGGTGTTTGGCTGTGTTTGCTCTGCCGTTGCCTGTGATGGTGGTATTGAAGAATCTGGTGCCGCTGCTGGCGTTGGAGGAGAGGGAGAACAAACTTAAAAATTATTCGTATCAGTAGTCGTCACTTTCCTCTTTTTCTTCAGCTTCTTCAAGAGATGTAGAAGATGAGGGATGCGTTCAAGAAGAATGCGACCCCATTAAAGTTGTTAGTCAAAGGTCATATTTAACCATCAAAGGATAGTCTATATTAACGGTGTGGTAAAATTACTCTTTTTTTTTTTTACCCTTTTAAGTTTTAAGGAGATATTGTTTTAAAAAAATTTAGATATTAGGCATCGTTTGAAAAAAAAAATTCCAAAATAATTTTTGTTCTTTAACTCTAATATTTAATGTAAGCTTATGAAGTCACAAATAGTGACAGATGTAATTTTGCAAAATTTAATCTAAAAACTAGATTAATTAATTAAGAATTTTAATTAGTTAAATGAGTTAATTAAAAGTTAATTATAGAGTTTGAATGGTCTTTTCAGTATATTAGACCTCATAAGGGATTTAAAATAGGGCTTAGAGAGTTATTGGGCCATTGTAGGTCCAAATTAATGGGTTTAAGTGATGCTGTTTGTTTTGGACCATCTGTTGATGATGTTGGACCCTCTTTTTCTCCAAGGCAGTTTTCTTCTTCCATATCTTTTCCATCATCGAGATTTTCTATGACAATAAATCTGGACTGTTGTTGAAAATTAACCTCCTTTCTGATATCTTTATCATAGCTGTATGATCTAGGATGACCTTCCCTTTGCCTACCTCATCTTAAGAATTGAAATTTTTATTTTTGAGGTGGAAGCATCTAGGTGCCATATATGTCTCCATTCATTGGATTTTTCTTCGGCGATGACATTACAGGATGAGAATGACTAGATGACTTCGTGCATTCTTGTTGCTGACTACTTGAGCTAGTTTTCTAAGAACATGCCTCGCAACGTGGCCATATCGATTACAAGTAAAGCATATGAGGTTTAATCCCTCATATTTAATGTTGAACAATGACCCAACTGCAATAATTCTTGGCACTAGCTTCTTCTGGAGATCCAGTTCTACACAATTCGAGCAAAATGGCTGCGCTTAACCTCAGCTTCAGATGCGTTAAAGTCAGCAAGAGTGTTAAGATCAACCTTTAACGTGCGACCAATTATATCGCCTTATCGGGAGATGAAATGATTGTTATAACAGTGAATTAGAATGTGAGGTATGCGAACCTAGGTTACTGTTCTTCCTAAAGGATTATGGAATGGGTCGAAGTAAGGCGTCCATTTCTAGATAAGCAAACAATGTTGCTTGAATACCCACAGTCTTTCATAAAGAGCTTTTAAGTAATGAATTTTCCAGGTGTCTAGGTTTGTGAATTTGACCACGAAATAATTGTTGGGTAAATCAACAATCTTGAATTCAGATGTACCCCACATAAGACAAAGTCCATCTCTAAGAGAGGGAAGAGAAAAACATCTACTAAGAATTGTAATCACCAGTCTATAGTTCCAAGGTTTGCACCAGTCATTATATTCTTCTTGTGTTATAGGAACAACATGATATATCTCCATGAGCTTTTTCATGGACTCATCCGGCTTTGGTAATTGCCAAAAAATATCATCTTCCTTTATGGGAGCATCGTCGAAATCAGGGAATGACCTACTGTTTGCCACATCATTAAAGCCTAAGAGTGATTCCTTATAGGTTGGGGCCTGTTCGAGTCAGAGGGCACCAGCTCCTCGTGTAGAGAACATTTAGGGGATTTTTCATCTTGTGCAACTTCTTGTTCCTCCATGCGATCATCCATGATGAGTTGGAGAGGTTCTTCAACCTTTTTTTTTCTTTTTTCTACCATCATTTCTAGCGTCAGAGGGTCGATCTGGCGGCGATTTATGTTGTCCAGTGTCCTCCATCAGTACGAAAAGAAGAAATAGTGTGCATAGAACCTACGAGAGAGAAACTCAACTTACTTTCCGAAGTAGCTTTTTAGCCAATGCACTCAATCTGATTCCAATCAAGGATCCTGAACACTTGGTACCAGGACAAAACCTTACTGTAAAGGCAACCCTAACAAGTGTCTCCCATCCACCAACCATTAACAATCACATGCACATGCATAAAACTCATTCATGCACAAATTATAACATATTGATATATCATAATTAGGCTAGAAACAATTATCAACAATCATAAAATACATTTGCATAGTTAGCCTTTCCCAAAAATATAAGGCCAAGTAACCAAAATGCCTAAGTCTAGAAAGAGGGCTAACATGCAAACAATACATAATCTAAACATACAAATCCTATATTTGGAAAACTATGAAATCCATTACAACACAAAGGCAACTAGATATAATATGACTTAGATCTCTAGTGCTTTGCCTCGAAAGCTTTCCTTTTGCCTTTCGTTTTGTCATCTCCTGGAGTGATATTAACAAATATGGGTGAGATTAAATAAGCTTAGTAACCAAAGTAATTTAATTAAAGAATACTAAAGTGTGTCATTCGCAACAAGTAAGTAGATATATCAAGTAAGGCAATCCACCCATTAATCACAATTCATCATCAAACCATAATCCACATGATAAAATGCAACCAACTTATACCGCTTCTTTTATCATTTGACTGAATTCATGAGCTACTAACTGTATAGGTTTAGCCCATATGATTGGACTAGCCCAGCTTTTCAATTGTAAGGGGTCACTTGGCTAAAGGCTTCCACTTTAACTCTCAAACCATGAATCCCCTCTTCTCAAATTACAAGGTGTCATAATTACCTGATTCATATCATCCCTTATAGGAATATGTGATATTGAGCATCGTGCTCAATTGATGCCATACTTGTAGGTTTTGGACAAATGTCATACTTATAGGCTAATGGCAATACTAAACACATTTAGTAAATAAATATGCTAATCATTACGCAGAAAGCTAGTGGAGTCCACATCATATAGATTTTCCAATTAGGGAGAATGATATTTAGGTCTTAGAAGAATGAATTAATGATAGTTAGGTCTTTGACAAAAAATTTTACAATTTTGTAAATATCAATTCAAATAGTAAAAAACAGAAATTTTTGTTACAATCTAAAAGTTACATTTGATATTTAAATCTTATTTGCAATTGAAACTCCTAGATTTATAATAATTTGAATTGATATTCTTAACTTATTTTTTAAAACAATTTGTCGAGAACTTAACTGGTATTAATTCAGTATTTTGAGACCTAATTGTCATTCTTCCTTCCAATTATACCCTCTATTACCTTTTGAGTAAATTTTCACCCATCCATAATCATGCAAGATTATTAATCATATGCAAAGAAATTCTCATATGTATATCTCAATAATTCAATACTTCCATAAATTCAGAGCTTGCATGCTTATCTCAATTAATATATCAACATAATTCGCAGCAACTCATTACCTTGTGATCATGTAACCAATACAAGCCTAACAATATAATAAACATGTGACATTTATACATATGTATTTACTAGGCACAACTCATCACAAAGAGACATGTGTCAAAACTCAAGTATCAAACTTAAAGGTAACATGTTCATTATCATGCTTTCATAGCTCATTCCAAGCCTTTAATAACATTGTAGAAATCACAATTTACAAACAATGATATATTAAAATTAAATACTCAATTATCTCAACTTTTGGGTTTACCATCCCAAAAGTGTAACTTTAGAATTTTCAAAGGAGCTTTCCACCAATATTAGCTTTGGAAATAATCACTCTACAATCAATAATCCAAAAAAAAAACATTAATGACTAATCATTATTAATCATTACTTATTCATGATTAAGGCCTAATACCTTTTTTAACATGGTTAAGCATAGCCAATTTTAAAATTCATTTTTATTAGCTTATTTAACTTTTAATAAGTTTAATACAAAATGCTAGCTAGTCGCATTAACTTAAACTTAATTATTTAACATTAGAGTTAACTCTAAATCTCTTATTAATTGCATTTAATGTTGTCAACTACTCAAAATCCATATTGAAAGCATTTAATAACACCCATAGACTCCATTGTAGTAATAGGGATTTGGAACTTGGCTCTAGGTTTGGATAACATCTTTCCCCAATCACCGAAATCAAAAAAAGACGTATGAAGAGGTAGAAAAAGAAGAAAAGAGACTTACCCAATAATTTGTAAGCTTTAAACCACTCCTTCATGACCCCACCTGTCACCTTTCTGCCCCCAAAACCACCTGACCGTAATTCGAAGAGTGGGAGTGGAGAAGATTCAGGTAAGCAAGG